GGTGCGCATGCGCGAGCGCACCTCCCGGAAGCGGCGAGCGACGGGCAGCGCCGAGGGCCAGAAAGGCCGGTGGGCAGCGGGTGTGCCGCGCGCTGGGGCCGCGATGGAGGACGATGCGCCCGTGATCTACGGGCTGGAGTTCCAGGTGGGTGTGGAGGGAGGCTGAAGGAGGGCTGGCAGGTGCTGGTGTCCTGCCTCTGGGGAGGTGGTGGCTGTGGGATTGGGGGGGTGTAGCAGGGTAGGGGAGTTCTGGGAGGGCTGTGGGGCCCGCTCAGGGGGAGGCCAGCGTCCCCTCGCCCCCCTGAGCTGCTCCCGGTGGCACCACTGTCTTGTGGCGGTTCTTGACACCTGACAGTCACTTTGGGGATTTTAAAGGTGGCTTATCAGGCTGTAGTAGTTGGTTCCTGCTCTAAAGCTTGCTGTTTCCAGGGCAGGTGGGCCATTGTGGGTGCAGGGGCAGAGGTTGTCTCCCTCGTGGCTGTGCACAGCCTGTCTGGCAGGGCTCCTGCCCTGTCACCAGACCTGGCCCACCTCTGGAGGAGCCTTTGACTCTGGGGTGGTAGGAGAATACCGGCAGCCTTAAAGAGATTCTTGCAGTTGTTTCTTTCTTTTCAGAAATTTAAAAAAACTCAAAAAAAGTAAAAATGCTTTTCTGAGGAGAGGGTATGAAGCTTTCTAGTAAGTTGCAAATTTTAGTTGGTTATATCCAACTGTAAAGGTGCTTGACGGTTGTGGGTTCTTTTGCTGTGAGTTCCGTGACCGCATTTGTCCCGTAAGACAAATCTGCCCATCATATTAATGTTATAAGGAAATGGGACTGTCTAACTTATGAACTCATTGTTCATCTTTGTAGAGGATCACCTGTCTTGTGTTTAATAAAGTTTTTATAAGTTCTGGGAAAATAAACATCTGAGTAGCTGTATGGGTGAGAGGGACCATAATTTGTGATTCTTTTCCACAATAAGGGTTTTACTCAGCTGTTTTGTGTTCTCTTTGACAACAGCTGGCTTATCGTTGTTGCCAATAGAGTGGTAACAGGAGGCGCTGTGTTTCTTTAGCAGCTCAGAGAGCAATCTTTCCATTCTACAGTAGATGTAGTAGTGTAAATGTGTACCCGTAGACTTACTTTTTAAGGCACCTTTACCAAAGTGCTCGTGGAAAGTAGTATTTGTAGGTTCTTTGTAACTGGTATGGATGTCCTGGCTACTGAGTGGTGTGCTCTGTAATCCTGACTATAACAATAGATCTGCTTAGCAAATTGTATATTTGTTTGGTTTTCCTCTTTTATAGGACCTAGTGTGTAACACTCACCTGTACTAAATGTTGAATCTACTGAAGTCCGATAATATGCTATCATTTTTTGATTAGCTAGAGATGACTGTAACTTGTACTTCAAAATTAATAAAACATATTTCTTCTGCAGACTACAATATATATTCTCTACTTAGTAAAATTCATAGCTTCTTTCTAGTAGGTCTCATACATAGTAAGTCTGGGACCTCCATGGACCTGTAGCCCTGCCACTGCTCCAAATCATACATCTCTTAGGGATCTTTACTTCCCCAAAGTGTATTATAGGGCTATCTGGTGGGAGGATAAAGCAAAAGGACTAAAAATAGCTGTAATCAAAGGTAATTACAGTTAATACCATAGAGATTTATTTGGAGAGAATTATAGAGAAATATATTGATTAATTTAGGGAGAAGGTGGGTAAAGAAAACATAGTTTATGGCCACATTGGAAAAGGAGAGTAGAGATGAAGGTTCTATTTCTGATCTCCTTTAACTGCCAGTGTGGCTTTAAAACAAATTGCATCTCTGAGCTTTCTGAAAAAGGCTCTGGTGGAGACACTTAAAGCTAAAATTGGTCTGGTTCTTCCAACTTGCATTTCCAGGTCTAATAAGATTATTATTCTTTTTAAGCCTGGCTGCTTCTGCCTTGATAGACAATAATGGCTAGCTACATCATCACATCTACTGCTTCTTTGCAGTGTGTGTCAGAAGCACTGTGCCTAAAAGCATCTCTTCAGATGAGTTTTTCCAGCCCAATTTGAAGAATTTTTGTTGTTGTTTCTTATGTTTGGGTTTTGGTTTTTTTTTTGTTATTTCCGATCTTTACTTCAGCTCTATGACATGCTTATTTCAAAGTTGAGATTTGAAATTATGAATTATTTAAAAAGATGGAGGGAACTTCTTACTCTTGTTATGCATAAAAATTGTATGTCACACAACCATGATATCTAGAAGCTACAGAGGGATTACAGGCTTAAGAAGCTACATGTGTTTCCAGCAGTAAATAAGAATGTGTCTTTGGCCACTGCCAGGGAGAATGTAATTGTGCAGATATTGACCTTCGTCCAGTGTGGCCAGGTTTATAAGAACATAAAGCTGATCCCTCCTCCTAGGGTGCTATCTACCAACTGACTTAAAATTATTTCTGCATAATTTCTCTTCATTTTTATGTGCTAAATGTGTTTTGCTGTATTGGCATAAGTAACTTAGGTAACTTAGAATAATGGAAAACCCACATCTTTCTCTTTTTTGAATATAGTTTTCATCAAAAATAGGCTTAGTGGAACAGGGAAGTCTTAGAAGAACCACATCACTCTCAGTTCTGACACATAAGAATAGAAATTAAAGATACAATTCCTGAACCCTTATATAACCATGTATAATTGTATGTGTAATTGCATAACTATATAATTGCATGTGTAACTACTGTATGAAAAATTTTACCAAGAAACAGTGAGAAATAGTTTTGGGTAGTGTTTGTGTTTTTTTTTTTTTTTTTTCCTGGGGTAGTGGGGGGAAGCTAAACATCTAACAGCAAAACAAGATTCAAGTTAGTGATGAATTCAGATTTCTGCACAATCAGTTAATTTTTCGACCTCATTAGTTCCTTCTGTTTTACTAGACAGCTGCTGTTCTAAGTTTTTTGGGTTATATGAACACCTGTAGTTTTCTGGAGTGGGTTTTTTGTCCCTTTATTGTGTCTGTGAGCTATATGAACATTCTACAGACATATGAAATATGTGTGAATTCTAGGGGGTGTGATTCTTTTTGTGACTGTCTTTGTTTTTTTAAAGGCAATATCCCACCATAGTTGCTCTGGTCATCCAAGTGTAGTGAAAATGAAAAAATTACACAGTGGGTGGTGAGTGAAAATATGACATGCTGCTTGAATTGAGGACTGAGTGATGTGTCTGTGGCTCATGATGATGAATATGGGGCAACAGCAGTAGCTATGGAACATTTCAATACTGAAAAGTTGTTCTTCGAAAAGGAACCTTGGTAGACTTCACCAGTTTCCCAAGTTATGAGAATGTCGTGGATGGGGTCCCAGGGTTATTGCTAAGTGCTACTTTTTATCGGTGAAATTACATGCTTTTTGCTTGTCTGGTGTAGAGCTGACCTATGTTTACTCTTGAACCTGGAGTGTGCAGTATGCTTACCCTGTGTTGAATAGGCTTCCATTTTTGGGGTTTCACAATTTTCCCCATCCTGTTCTGAGTATTTAATCAGTGATGTTTTGAGTAGGTGTATAAGCGCTGTTGAATATCTGGAAATACTGTATTTGCCTTAGTTTAAGGTTGATTGGATGATGCTTATGTCCTTGGAAATGAGCTGTGTAGAGGGGTGCTTTTCAGGGTAGGTATTTGGCTGAGTTGCAATGCCAACTGTCGTTGTTGTGGGGACATCCTACATCTTGCTTGTTTAAAAACATGCAGAAGCAAGCCAGCATCATGGGAGGAGGAAGGAATAACATTGCTTCTGCCAGTGATACTTATGAAGTGTGTGTTTGGCACATTTAATGGATTTTGGGAATACTGCAATAGCTGATTTTCAGCATGTCAGATACTCTTACTACATCTTACATGTCAAAAGTACATAGACTTGCAATGGAGAAATGCAATGAGCAGGAAGGACAGTCGTAAGCCTGCTGGCTGACTGTGAGTCTGTACTACACAAGGGCAACTCCAGGTGAGGTCTGGCTGAAGCAGGCTTAAAAAAACCCAGTGCACTAATACTTTGTCAGAGATTGTGTAGTGCGTTGTCCTGCTCATCTTGAATAAGCAATACGTGGCCCATATTATATTGCCAGTTAACAAGTTTTATGAATCTGAACAGAGGCTATTAATTTTTAGGACTTTCTTGCCTGTTTGCATGACTAAGGTGAAATTTAATTTCACTAAAGCCATATTGACTTATTAGAATAAGAATCTTAAAGCAATGCAAAGCACCAACTGAAATAGATTGGTCTCAGGTCTTGTACAATGTGTGTGTATGTATAATATCAGTATGTATTGAGAATAGCTCAATTGACCTACCTTTGGTGGAGTAGAAAGCAGCTGTAGATTTATTAGAAGTAGGAGGGGAAGGGGACTTCTTAGGAAGGCTTGTGTCACTTGGGCAGCACCCAGGGCAACCTTTCAGGTTCAGTCGTGTTCCAGGGTGGGAGTGGAGCAGGTGGGGAACCTATAGCTCCTACTGGCAGCGGAGTTCTCTTCTCTGGGAGACTTTTTGTAGTCTGTTGATGTGTGAGAGACAATGGCCTGAACAGAATGTAGATGATAATTTTGATACAGCTTTAGAGATATTTTTGGAGGATTTATTCTGAAAATTGAATCAGTTCAAGAAACTGCGTGGTAATGTCATAGTGAAACTCCTAGTTTTTGTTTCAGTTCTCTTTCTTTTCTGAGATTACTTGCCTCATGAGTGCCAGTCCTGTGTATTTTAATCTAGGCTGAGCGTTCTCTCACTTGTTTTTCTATTCACCTCATTCTTCAGGACCCTTCTTGAGGGTGGCATTTCAGTTGGGAGGACTTCTCGTGAAACTTCAATTTAACATTCTGTTAGGTTTAAAGTTTTACTAGGGGAAAAAAAAAGTAGATAAGTGGCAAAACTCTCTTAACTCATTCCCCAGAGATATTCATAATACATGAAGTGGAGAAGGTGGAAACTATTTCTTTTAGGACCCTTAAACAATTAGCAGGATCTTGCTCATGTTAGGTATGGTACAGACTAACAACAATATGAAGATAAAATTACATTAACTTAAAGGAACTGTTAAAAGGTGATTGTTACCATTATGTCTTATGATAAATGAATGGGATTTCTAAAGATGATTATGCTATGCAAGGTTTTG